ATTACTACACGCCAGTCATTTTTCATTTTTTTTTTTCACTTTGGCAGCCGGGTCAGGGGTCATGCAAACACACACACACACACGCTGAGATACACTCGCATGTGTGTGTGTATGTAAATACCGATGTTTTATCTGCCATCTATCCCGAACATTCCTGCATAGCCAAAAGAACCGAATGTGTCCCTTTTTTTCCAGCTGCTTTCACTTGAGTAAAAAATACGACCAAAAGATACCCCTTACTTGGGGGCTGTCTGAATCCACAGCACATGCGGAGTGTTCCACGGAGTGTGTGCTGGGCATGGAAAGTGCCCCACCAATATGTTTATTAGATATACCCCTGGGTCTGGCATTGACGTGTGCATTGACGAGCAAGCCACTGAGGAGCGCCCTACCCAACCCAACCCCACCCCACCCCCACCCCCCCTCTTGGGCTATTGGTTAGTCAATACGAGCAGCGTAGTGTCCCTCCTATTGGAAACTTTTGCCGATGATTACGATGAGTCTTAGATGAAAGAAAGCGAAATGTAGGATTAAAGTTGTGGGGGGGGGGCAAAACTTTTGCCAAGCCATTAACTGACGGGTAATAATAGTATTTACTTCGAGATGAAGTTGAAGTTCGATCGAACTTTGAGTGCCTTATGAATGGAATGCCTTAAAATTCGAAAATTAATATTAATTTGGAGAGGATTGTTTGTGGGGATTAAAGCGAAGAGCAGCATACGGAACTCCTAATGGGGTTTCTCTTGGCTAATAAAACTTTATGTAAGTACAACACATACATATACACCACACCACATATGTATGTATGTATGTACAAGCAGAAGTCATCAAGGCAGTGCCACAAATTCATGTTTGATGTTTTTTTGTTTTTTTTTGTTTGCTGTGTTGGTTTCTTTGAAGTTGAAATCCTGTCTCAGTTCATTAGCGCGTGGGAATGGCGGATTTGATGTGTTGATCTCTGGGGAATGGCCTTCAATCGTGGCAAGAGAAATGGCCACAGCCCACAGCCCACAGTTATTTGTGCTTGCTGTTTTTGGCAATCACTCAGTGGTCCTGCAACTCCATTCTTTGATGGCTAAGACGTCCATTTGGAAGTAGAACCTGGCAGCCCTCTATCCATCTATGCGATGGACCCATATGATGCGCATCACTTCCATCTTCTGCTGTGTGGTGTGTGGTGTGTGGTGTGGTGGGTCTTGTGGCAGTGGTCTAATGATGCATAAACATTTTCAAGATTGCCATTGCCATTGCCATTGCCGTCTCCATGGACAATTCAATTATGAGACGTTTCACATTTCCTCGAAAATAAAATAAAAAAAAATTATATGGATTACTTGATCAACTTAAAAGCTCCCCCCCCCAACCCACCTCCGGAACCGATATTCGGAGGCCCCTTGTGGGGTCCCCCGCCCATCCATCGATCGAGGGCGGGTACCTTGAACAGGGTGCAGGGGGTGGGTGCTGGGTGCTGGGTGTAGGTCCCCGAATATCTCATTTGAGTACTCCAACTATGCCGCGGGCGACATTTTCTTAAGTGGAAAATCGGCTGCCCGGTTTCCCTACATACCCTCCCCGCCCCCTCGATAGTGTGTTTTTGTGTGTGCAGAGGTGGGACCTAGTCCAATGCACAATTTTTGTGGGGCGCTCCTTGTCTGAGTTACAATTTGTTTTTTCCGGTTTATTCTCGGGTTTTTCTCTGGCAGTTTTTCTGCCACAATTACCAACCATTTTCACGCTTGCGTCTCAGACTAGACTCCCCCCCCCACCCCACTGTGGTATTTGCAGAGGAAACAACACAAAATTTCGACAATATCATGATGGGTTTTTCTCCTTGCGTTGGATGATGTCTTGTCGCCTGCGTCATTACGCTTTTTCATGTTTTCATTTGTGGCACTTGCGGCCGGTAGCTAAGCGTCGTGTTAGATTTGACCCTAAGGTTAAATTCGATTTCGTTGTCGCATTTTCATACCCTCACAGACGGGGCACAGGGGTATATTCCATTTCCAGTACATACATATGTATATGGGGAAACGATCATTCCAAAATTAATATCCGCATCCAAATGACCCACAACTTTTTCTCATATTTCTTTCCCAATGATCTGCACAGAAAATAGTGTAAAGATTTAACTAAAAATTAAACTTAAACTTCAGGAAATAAAATATGTATTATTTTGACACCCATTTTACTTCCATGAATTTATTGGCTCTTTGGAAGAACAGGTAATATTTTCTAATACCTTAGAAGTACAACAAATAAAATATATTTTATATTTAATGTATAATAATTCCTGGAAATGGCATTTCAGGAAATAAAATTCCACTCGAGAAAAGCAGGAAATCTCAATCGAATAATTGACGCATTTCCTGAATTGTCTCCCCTAAAGTTACGGTGAAGCAATAATTTGCCAGGCTGAGAGCCGTGCCATGAAAGGTATCCATGGACGACCGATGGATGGCCAATGGCAGGGGCTTTGCCAGAGCCTGTGCAAGTGGCAACCACTAATAACAGAACTTTTTTGGCAGTAACATCATCCACAAACCACAACTACGTACAGGGCCCAAGGCCGCGCTGCTGCTGACCACAGCAACCGCAGCAAGGGCTCACCACTCCAACCACGCCCGGCCAACCCGAGCCACAGTATCCCAGCATCGATGATGATGATGCCCCACGCACCTCGACCGAAGCATGGACGGAGCTTACGCTGGGTCCTCAGCCATTGGCAAATTCATTCAACCTCATAAATCTAAACGGCACCCCGCACTTACTCTTAATGACATTTTATTACAAAAATTTAACACAGACAACCATAGGGAAAAAATGGAGAGACAGAAAGAGGAGGGGGATATAAACGGAGTTGGAAAACTCTATTTTATCTCTTCTATATGTATATGTATGTATGTATTTGTGTAGCAATCATGGTGTCCATTAAATAACCAAAATTAATATGCAAATTGAGGGCACTTTTTGAATTGAAATATTTCAGTTCTAGTTTGCAAAGTGGAATACGAGTATTTCCATGAATATTTACATCATCAAATGTTATGGGAATACGAATACGAAAACGAGGGAAACGGACTGCAATAATATTTGATATAATTAATGTAATTAATTTCGTAGATATGAACAAATATCAAATATTATTGTAGAGCATTTTCCACACAATATCCAGCCAGTTTGTCACTGAGGATCTCCATAGAACATTCCCCAACTTGCTTATATTAAGCATGGCACATACAATATTATCTCATCTATTAATAAATTTATTTCTTTTATGTACAACTCCCAATTCGAGTTTGTTCTGGGCATTTCAAATTGTGTTCCCTGTCAGCCTATTATTAACTTAATATAATCATTTCCATCCACTCTCACTCTCACTGTCACTGTTTCCCTTAGCTTTAGCTAACTTTGCTCTTATAATCAATTATATCTCGACGAGCAGATCTGCTGGGATGTCCACACAGATGGCCAATATCTTGGCCAGCTCTGGTCTGGTCTCGCGCACTTGTTATTCTCGAAATTATTTTGTGGATAAAGTAGATGAAAAAAATATACACCCCAGCCATTCACAGGCCCATATCAACATATCTTATGGCCAATGCGAATAAACAATTGCATTACGATAAATAAACGATTATAAAGAAAAAATCAAACACCAAAGGAAAAAGGGAAAAAGCGAAAATGGAAAATGGAATTTGGGGGGGTTTATTGTTTATTGTGCCAAGACAAGACGTACCTAGGATCCCGATTGACAGTGGCATCATCAGCATTCCCATTCCCATCACAATATCTCTCTGGGGAGTTCTCGTTGTCGTGGGACTGTTCCCTATTTTCTTTCCGAATCGGGCCATAAACAATTTTCTAAGATTTCGTTTTTATATTTAGAATTAAAACTGCAATCGACACAAACACCACAAACTACAGCACAGACAAAAACAAACAAACAACAAACAACAGACAAGAAAAAGCCACAACGTTCGACTTTTTGTTTCGATAGACTTCGAATTGAGATCGTCGCGAATTTACGGGGAGATCTTGTAGATCCGATCCTCTGTAGGTGCTGGCTATGGCCCCTCCACTCAGTCAATCGGCAGACAGTGTCGCGGACTCTCGATGTGGGTGCGGGCGCATCGGTGCGCGCGTTCGCTGCCAACGATAACAAACAACTGAAGGCGAATCGAATGCCGAGCCGAACGCTTGCAACATGTGGCATGCGGCATTTGGCTAGTGGTTACCAGCGCCCAACACCACCCCCCTTGCTACTCAACCGAACCTCAAGCCCACTCATTCACCAAACGGCTGCTGGCTGGCCTGCTGGCCAATCTATGAATGAATCGAGAAAAGCTCACTCGAACCACACCCCCCACCCGCGCCGCGCCGCGCCCTATCATCCATCCAGCCATACGCAGCCGGTGTTTAAGTTCAAGGTGAAAAGCTCTCTCGCCGCGAAAGCTCAGGAATGTTAGCCGTTACGTGAGCGCAGCATTCGAAATTTGATGAGTGCAAGAGCAACGTCACTCGAGAGCAGAGAAAGAGCAGAGAGCCATCCAACAGCCAAAGAAGTTTACAAAGATTCAAAAAAGAAGCGGAGAAAATAATTAAAAGTTGCCCAAATAATTGACTGCACATGGGGGAATCCACAATTCGTGGCTAATCAAGGTGAACGTTTTCTATGGCTATTCCCTGTGGCTACAATAGCAGCAGCAGCAACTCAAAGTTCAAGGATTGATGCATAAAATATGCACGTACGAGTGTACAGGGGAAGTATTCAATTTACAGATTAATCAGGGATTTAAATGGCAAGTAGCATTGGCATTGCGAAAAGTGGAAGCATTTATGCGAGCAACTCTGACGCGTCTCTGTCCCTGTGTCTCTCTGTGCATTTCTCTCTGTGGCTAGTGCTGCAGCTCTAGCACAGTCAGGGAATAAAGAGTATCAAGTGCGCCATCTGATAAGCCTTTCTGACTTCAGTTATGATTAAATCCCAAATGAATTTCCTCTCAGGCCAATGTCAGTGCTTTGGCAGGGGCTGGCTGAAGTACTGTACGGTCAGTGTTCCATTTCCAGTTCCAGTGGATCAAATGCCACAACAAAAAGACTCTTTGTATTGGAACAAGCGAAGCATTTCACACAAATTTGCATCTTTGATAAATAACTTAATTAATCATAATTTAATTAACAATTAGAATAACGAAACCACTTGAGAACATGAACGAACACAAAAAAAAAACAAAAAAAAAAAGAGGCAAAGTGTTTAGTTTAGAAAAATCACTAGAAGAAAAGGCACTCCACTGCTCCTGCTCCTCCTGCTCCCCCTGCTCCTTCTTCTGCTGCTGCACCTCCGCTCAGTAGTAGTGGGGCTGGGCGTGGGTGTGGGTGCGGGCGTGGTGCTGCTGCTGCGCCAGATTGGCCTGGGCAAAGATGTGCTCCAGCTCCGCGTCGCTCAGCTGATCGAAGATGCCTCCCTGGCCGCTGCCAACGCCGCCGCTCGAGGAGCTGAAGGCCGATGGCTGTGAGCCGACGGGCGGCAGATAGCCTGAAAAGACGAAAGACGAAAGATCTTTAAGCACAGGTCTCTGTTCTGTTTCCAATGGGATGCTTACCCTCTGCTGGCTGGGCGCTGCCGTAGGGTGGCAGCAGCGTGATCGACGGACGGTTGGGCGAGGCTGCCGCAGACTCTGTGGGCGGCTGATAGAAGACCGGCTTCCATGGCTGCTGTGGCTGCTGCGGCTGCTGTGGCTGCTGCTGTGTGGGACGTACCGTGGGCAGCGGTGGTGGTGGCGACTGCTCGGGCTCCGGCTGCTCTGGCGCCTGCTGGGGGGGTATCTGGGGCGAGGCTATGGCCGTGCCCGTTTCGGGACGCACTGGACTCGAGCCCGGCAGCGGCACTATTCCGCCCGGGAACTGCGCCTCCGCCGGGATGAATGTGGGCGGCTGCTGGGGCAGCGGCGGCTGCACGGCCGTGGGGAAGAACTGGCTGTTGGGCGGCGCCTGTGGAAAGGGAGCAGCGGGTGCCGTGGGCGCCTGTGGAAATTGTGGCATCTGCGGGAAGCCGGCGAACTGGGGGAAGCCCGGAAACTGGGGAATGGCCGGAAACTGGGGGCTCGCTGGGAACTGCGGAATGGCAGGGACCTGAGGAATGGCAGGGATCTGCGGAATGGCAGGGATCTGAGGAATGGCAGGGATCTGAGGGATCTCGGGTTCCTCTGCTGCTGCTGGCGGCTGGGCGGGCTGTGGCTGCTGCGCTGGCACCGCTGGCTGAGCGGGCTGAGCGGGCTGGAAGGCGAAGGTGGGAACACCTGCAAATGCCGGGGGTTGGGGAACCGCAGAGGGCAGAGCAAAGGTCACCGATGGCTGCTGCACCGGCTGAACGGCATGGAAGTGCTGCACGGGCTGCAAGGGCTGCAAGGGCTGTACGGGCTGGTAGTGCTGCACGGGTTGAATGGGTTGGAACGACTGGACGGGCTGGACGGGCTGGACAGCCACTGCAGGAGCTGCTGGAGCCAGGGCCTGCACATAGGTGGGCTGAAAGAGAGCAACGGATTCAGTTGGAGGCTCAAATCTTTCATTCAGAACTCACCTGCACGGCATGGACCTGGCCGTGGGCTGGGACTGGGAGTGGGACTGGGACTGCAGCTGCTGCTGCTCCTCCGGCTGTGGCGTGGAAGTGCACGGGCCTGGGGCCGGACGAGAGCACCACCTGGGGCTTGTGCAGATGCTGGTGCGGATAGTTGACGCTGTAGGAGGAGACGACGGCATTGCCTGGACGCAGAACGTATGAGGGCGATGCCACGGCGCCGACTCCCAGGGGCAGCCCTCCGCCACCGATGGCCGTGGGCAGTGCGGTGGCCAGTGCGGGTGTCAGGGATCCAGCGGCGGCGGCGGGCAGGAAGGCGGCTGCCAGCCCTGGGCCAGAGGCTGCTCCGGCCAGAGAGAACGGCCTGATGTGCAGCCCGTGCTGGGGGGCGACGGCTCCGAACTTCACGTATCCATGACGAGGACCGATGGGCACATGGGCGAGGGCGGGGCCGGCAGCCAGGAAGCTGCTGGCGCCGGGCAGCTGGAGGCTGTAGCCATAGTGGGCCGCATAGGTGCGTGCCGGCCAGGGGGCAGCGGCGTGCAGGGCATGGCCGTGGTGGCCATGCAAGATGCCCCGCTTGTGCTTGCCGCTGGCCAAGGCGGACTCTCCCTCTCCCGCTTCGGCTGCACTGCTCTCCTCCGCCGGCTGCACCGCCACCAGCGTCTCCTCAGCGGCCACTGCACTGGCGGCTGTGCTGGAGGCGGCAGTGGAGTCTGTGGCTGTCGCTGTGGATGCGGATGTGGCTGTGGCTGTGGTGGGCGCAATCTGGCGGCTAGCGTGGCGCAGGCGTAGACGACCTGCCTCGACTCCCCCCACGGCAATGGTCAGGGCGATGGCCAGCAGCAGGCGAATGCTCCTCGAGCTGGCAGAGAGCTTCATCTCGGTTCGTGGTGGTTGGTTGGGTAGTTGGATGTGTCGTGGGGTGTTGTTGTGGTGCTGTGGTGGTGCGAGGTGGTGCTGTGGTGATAGTGTATAATCCGTGTGGTGCGACAAGACAGGTGGCAGCAGCTGCACTGCTGGTTATGTCAACGCTTCGATGGCTGCCAACAAAATGAAACGAACTTCCTTGGTGTTTGTTGTATTTATAAAGCGGATATCGGCGAGGCGGCGAGCCACGGTGCCCCAGTGCCACCCTCGGTGCATACAAAGCAGATCGATCGATACACCGATACACCAGTCCACTGGCCACCGATCCATCCATTGTACATTGTCGGCAAGTGCAGTAGCCGCCCGGTCCGGTCCGGTCCGGAGCGGACCCTGGGACTGCTCATCGGTAGGCCATCGGCGGTTGGGCAGTTTATGACTCTTACGCTGCCATTTCACCTGCCGCCCATCAAATGATTCTCCACCACCACCCAAACACCTCATTATGCTGGTACCCCCCGCACCCGACCGAGCACAGTGGTGCGAAGCCATTCAAAATTTATCTTGAAAAAGAAAGGGCTGGGAAATACCTGGAAATTTCGGATTTCTTTCGTATATAATACAATATAGAATTCTACAATTTACAATGGAATTTATAAGATATATGAGTAAGTGTGCACTGCGAATAAAGTAAATAAATCGCTCGCATCGTGTATGGATTATCGCTGGTAATTCCGGGGCAGATCCCATGAAAATTCAGAAATATTATGTTCCAGCCACAAGGAATATGCGTGGGGGTATTTATAGGCGCACTCCCTATCACTGGGTTGGTCGTGAATAGTTAAGGGAGAGTCCGAGTGTAAATATTTGCAGCGGTTAAAGATCCTTCACAGTTGGATGCCACGCCACAACTATTATGCAAGGAATGCCACGACCTGCACCCACCTAAGCACATCGAACGGAGTTGAGATGGAGTTTCAAAGGCTTTGTAAGAAGTGTAAAAAATCGTTGGATATGCATAGAAACTACTTCATATACATATTCACATTACCGTCGTAGATCTCCCATGGAACTACTACGAATGTGGCTAGAAATGTTTTACTAGCTAAATCGGGATACATCCTACGAGTCCTGTAGATTGTTTCTGTTCCCAAAATGGCACAGCCAATGGAATGACTGTGACTGTGTGACTGGTGTTCGAGTATACCCTGCTGCGAGTGGGAGTAGAGTACGATTATGCCACTCACTTCTGCACCACGGTGGAAGCCACCTACGCATGCGCTGCACGTCGCTGCCTCTGCACGCAAAAGACTTTTGTTTTCAATGGGCTCCGCGCACCGCCTCCTCCCCCCCGCATGTTTCATGTTCCATGGCACTTTTCACTTTCCGTTGTTGACGGGGGGCAGCGGGTGTAGCCGCCCCCCCAAAAATGGCCATCGAAGGTTTTGGCCTGCAATTAAGATACAAATCAAATGAAGCCATCGAAGCCATTCCAGAGCCTCTTTTATGGCAGGTTACATAATTAACAAACGAATCGCAAAGTAGATGGATGTAAATGTGGCACCACCACAGCACCACAGCCACTCCCACTCGCACTCCCACTCGCACTCGCACCCGCTGTTGAGGTGAAAGCATAATTGCCATCAAAATAAAACCAAAACGCTGAGCACACGGCAAACAATTGTCAATTAGATTAGCATTTCGTTCGATGGCATTTCAATTGTGTTTCAGTTTCAGTTTCTGTGTCTGTTTCGTGAATGAAATTCCTCATTTCACCTGCACTAAATTTGATGGCCACTGGTGCCCCAGAGCTCGGTTCGGTTCGCTATATGCAGACAGATATATCGCGCGTCCCAAGCAAATCAATTTTTAAATTAAATTCCAATTAGCCCCGCAGCCTGCATGGATTTTCACTTTTTTTTTTGTTTGTTTCTGTCGCTTTTGGAAATTGAGCAAAAATTGAGCTTGGAATTTTAATTGCTGAAATCTGAATGATTTTTTGGGGTAGGGGGGTTTTATCTATGGGGGAACATCTCGCACTCGTATCTGGGTCCAAGGTCTTTCCCAGGCCTTGCCATGCAGTGCGCAAGTAAATCTCATCAGTCATGTAACATTTGACAAAGAGCCACATAAAAACTTTAATGTGAGCGCACACGGGGCAGCCACGGTAGAAAAATAAAAATCCAAGCCGTTCAATGCGATGCTTTATGGCGTCGCGGGGGTTACGTGCTCGGCATGGAAACAGCCAGCCAAATGCCAGCAAAGGGTTTTCTAAAACTACTCCTTATTCCCATCCATCCATCCATCTATCCAGCCAGCCATACAAGCCATACGTAATCACAGCTTGAAGCCAGAGTGTATGCTGACGATGCCAAAGGTTAGGTTCTCGTAGGAGACCAGATCGAAGCCGGCCTGCTCGATCATCTGCTTGAAGTGCTCCTGCTTGGGGAAGCGACGAATGCTCTCCACCAGATACTGGTAGGCCTGCCACTGTCCGGCCAGCAGCTGGCCCATGGGCGGTATCACCTGGAACGAGTACTGGTCGTACAGCCACTGCATCGACTCGTTCGTCAGATGGCTGAACTCCAGGCACATGAACCGTCCGCCCGGCTGCAGCACCCGATAGGCCTCGCTCAGAACCTGTGTGGGAACGGGACAAGTCATGAGTGAGCAGTGAGCTGGGGAGACGCACCTACCTTATCCACATGCGTGCAGTTCCGTATGCCAAAGGCAATCGTGTAGGCATTGAAGCAAGCGTCCTCAAAGGGCAGGCACTCGGCATCGGCGCACTGCCAGGCGATCGTTGAGTTGGGCAAGCGCTCCTCGGTGAGGCCGAGGCGACGGGCCCGCTCCCTGCCCACATCGAGCATGTGCTGGTTGATGTCCGAGACGGTCACATGGCTGGGGCGCTGCTGGGGATTCGCCTGATTGGCCAGATACTTCAGATAGCGAAATGTGATGTCGCCAGTGCCGCCGGCCATGTCCAGCAATCGCATGCCATGCGTCGGCCCCAGTCGCTCCACAAACATGTCCTTCCACACGCGATGTATGCCCATGGACATGGCGTCGTTCATCAAGTCGTAAGAGTTGGCCACCTGCTCGAACACCTCGTGGACTGAAAGCATTTCGGGGAATGTTTACACCGCCATTTACGCGGCATGCGTTCATGCTGTGTACGTTGGCATACCTTTCTGTTCCTTTTCGCTCTCCTTTACCGTCTGGAAGCCAAAGTGCGTGGTCTGCTCCGTCCCAGAGGCGGAAGTGCCCGATGCGCCTGGCCCTGTTGCTGCCGCTCCTGTTACTCCTGCCGTTTGCTGCGACGCTTGTGCCGCTGTCCGCCTCAGCAGGTGCCTGGCCAGGGACAGCAGTCGCGTGCTCTGATTGCTTTGCATATTGTGCCAGGTAGATCCTCCGCCACTCTTCTCTTGCTCGGGAATATTATGAAATAACAAAACAGAACATGAGCTGTTCTATGGCTGTCTCCCTCTTTCGCCCATAATCTGCATTGCCGGCTAGGAATGTGCCATAACGATAGGTTCTCGTATGAACACTTCGATATCCCAATGCGATATATATTTCACCATATCGATATCAATTTTAGTTCAAATTTATCATCAGCAAAAATGTAGAAGATGCATTTCAAACTTGTTCTAAATGTTACTGAATGACGACCCCCCAACAGAATGCGCCAACACATAATTACAAACAATTAAATTGCTTTCATTGTTGGACATAAAATAAAATTCTATTGAATTATTGCCAAAAAAAACAAAACATAAACGAAAGCCTCTCTCCTCTGGCTCTGCTGGACGCGCTGTGTCCCGCTGAAAAGAGTGACATTTCACAGATTAATTAGGGGATTAATCATAGCGAATAAGAAGCGAGAACCTACCCGTCCCCTTACCCTTACCCTTGAGAGTGTGCTGCTGTTGTCTGCTTGTCTGTGGTCTGCCCTCGGTGCTGCGTCTGGTGTCTGGTGGGTCTGTGTAAGATCTTAATGGTCTTCATCTGTTTCTGATTGCTCTGCCCAGGCCCCCGACTCCCGTTGGCGTAGCATGTCCTGGCCACGGAGCCGCACTTGAGCCGGCAACATTTCTGGCCTGGGGATGAGCTCCAGCGATCGGTCCTTGAACAGTCTGCGCGCGAAGTACTCAAAGGGCTTCTCTATGTTCAGATTGGTTTTAACGGAAATCTTTGTGGAGCGGAAAATGGTCAGTCGCAGTCGGTTCTTCTTGGACGGCTTGATGTCGGTCTTGTTGACACAGATGGTTCTCAGGACGTGCGCAGGAACCATGTTTAACAGAGAGTAGTGTGTGTCGAAGTTAGCGAACGGCTCATTTATGCCCACGTCGAACATCAGGATGGCGCACTTGATCTTCTTGAAGAATGAATTCGGAAGCGGGTTGTACTCCGCCCCGCCCCTCTCCCACATCTCGAAGCAGATGGGCCCGCGGCTGGTGTTGAACAGCAGCTTGATCACCACGATCCCGTGCGTGGGCAGATACTCCTGCTCGAACGCGCCCGTCAAGTGGCGCTGGATAAAGGCGGTCTTCCCGCATCCCTCGTGGCCGAATACGGCGCACTTGAATGTTGGCACTCGCTTTGGCCAGCCAGACATTTTCAACAGTATTTCATCACAGTATTTGAGACTGCGAGGAGTTCTGTTTGATTCAGATTGGATTGATTTGGGAGCAGCATCAGAAATGTACTTACCAGAATTTGCTTACACATTTATGGAGTTGGGGAATGGGAGAATAGCTTCGTATTGTATTTCCAGACTCAATCTCAATTCAATGATAAGTGTCGAATGAGCACAGGAATATCCCATGACAGATTGCTGAAGCCTGTTCAATGACTTACTTTTGCTTAAACTTCATTGAAATGGATCATTAATTAATGAGCATTCCCCAACTTGCAAATGATTAAAAGATCATCCGTATTCGGAGTTCATGTAAACTGCAAATTTATTTTTGATGAATTCTTACGCGCATGTATTCAGATTGTTTTGCATGCGCTCTTCTCTCTCTCTCTCTATGTATCGTTTCATTTTCGCTCCATAATGCGGAGATGGGGCGGGCCGGACCTACACGGCACCAGCAACGCGGCCAATTGTTTGATGGCTAAACTTAATTACGATATTACATGTGTAAAAATACCTAATTACAAAACAGCTCTTCATCGCGGTGTTGTGTTCATTTAGAAGACAAAAAAAATTCCTTTTTCTTGGGGTTTGTTTTTGTGTGTTTTTTGTTTGTTTGTTTCTTTCTTTTTCTTTCATTTTGCGCTGCAGGCAGCCTCCTGAACGCATACTTAATGGAAGTTACATGTTAAAAAAAAAAAGATAATATAAAAAAAAAAAAAAATATATATATATATATGGTATATAGTACATTAGTGATAATCATAGTAATAAATAGTTTACAAGGTGTGGCGGTTTATTGTGTAAGCTTTTAATTTAAAGTACAACTAAAACTAAAATAAAGATTTTAATCATTGAGAAAAAGTCCATTGATAAGCGTTTTCATTCCTTTCTTTCACTATATATCTTTTTATCCTTGTGTTTGTGTGTGTGTCTGTGTGTGTGTTGGTTTATGGGGGTGTCTGTCGGTGCATGGGGCATCAATGAGTGGATTACATGCATTCATGTAGGTATAATATTTCTTGTACATATATTCACGTTGATTGCGTTAGGTAGGGGGGGGGGAGGGAGGGAGGGTGGGTTTATGCATACCATAAAGTCTATATTTAAATGACAATATAAAAAAAACAAAAACACAAAAGATAAGGATAGAAGGATGTTCTGTTCGAAGCGTTTTTGCTGCTGTCCGTTGATCTATCGCTACATATTCCGATGCTATGTACTCGACTCTGCTGTATTTAAGTGTAAGTTAATGAATATTTATATGTATATCCGTATCTGTTGTTGTTGCTACTGTTTCATGCTCTCACGCATATTTGCATGCAGTTCCATTGCATTGCATTCCCCTTTTTTTTTTGTTTAGTAGTTAAACTCCTCCTTCTTCTCGGAATCGCTGCGTAGATCGTTCATGAGGAGATCGAAACATGACTTGGGTATCATGGTGCCCACAATTTTCTCGCCCTCAGTCGTCTTCATGCGTATCACTTGCATTTTGCTGTTGGAACGTGTATTCAATATGTGCTCGACCCGCCCCCAAACGGACAGCACCGATCCGGCCAGCACATGGTATAGACGCTGCCTGAGGCCCACCTGTGTGTGAGTTACCAAGAATTAGAATTATAATTTTGGTTCAGTCTGCCACTGCCACTGGCACTCCAACTCACCTCACAATCGTTGCCGAGACTGACGTTCCGACAGTTGCCATTCCAATAGGCGTGCGAGCACGTGTTCACCGACGCATCGTACTGTTCCGTCCAGTGGGTCTCCGCCTCGTCGCTGCCAACCTTTCTGTACTTCTTCTCCAGCTCGAAGAGCGATTCGTGGCGCACCTGCAGGCCCGTATTGGGTCTGTAGATCTGGCACATGATCTCCCTTTTGGTGCGCGCCTTTTTCTTCTTGCTGCTGCTGCTGCTGCTGCTGCCGCCATCCGCATCGGTGGTGCTGGTGCTGCTACTGCTGCTGGTCCGTGGCGGCTGCTGTTCCAGCACTACGACCAGTATGGCGGTGCGCTTCTGATTCCGCAGCTGATGCGACAGATAGAAGCCCTCGTTGTCGTTGAACAGATCGGCATATCTGTGGAGAGTAAAAGATTCGATTGCAATGAGATCCAGCGTCCAGTCCGGTCCAGTGCCACCCAACCGAAATGATATTTACTTGTCAATGGCCTCCTGCCAGATCATGCCACGTTCCACGCGCACTGTGTGCAGCTCCGTGGGTGCCACGCCGGTGGCATGTTTGCGCATAAAACGTATCAAACGCACGCGAATCACATTCTCCCCGGCAGCGCCCAGATCTGTAGGGAAAAAGAGTGTTCTTTATCCTCTACCCGTGTATGGTTTGCCCGTGTTTCTTGGGAGTGTACTCACCCACGATGCCCAAGTCGAAGCGACCGCCGCGCTTCGCCTGCTGTATGATGGCCGTCATGGTGTCGGTGAAATACTTGAAGAGGCGGTTCTGCAGGTCCACGGGACAGCCGAGGATGCGATTGAGAAACTTTGATATGTTATTGTAGTCCTTGTCCAGACTGAGCACGCCCGGATGGCTCTCGCTGTTCACAATGATCCCCACGCCCACCAGGGCCCCGGCAATGTCCTTGAAGAACTCCCCGTTGTAGTCGGTGGGCGGCGGCACCAGCGGCGCCTCGTAGCCCATGATGGTGCGCATCACCGTCTCAAGCGCCTGACGGCCGTACTTGTTGTCGATATTGAACTGGGACAAGTCGCGCGTCTCGGTGGCACGTCGATCGCCGTGCGTGAGGGCTCCCAGTGACTCCAGGCGCTTGGCCACCGTCGAGGCGAAGCGTCGCTCGCCGGCCAGATCCGAAATGAGGAATATATACTCGGGGGCGTTCACCTGATTGGAGCGATGGGTGCGGCCAAACTGCTGGATGGCCCGATCGGCGGACCACGGCAGCTCCAGGGTAATGTGGACACGCCGCCGCTGATTGAACACCCGACGATCGCTCTGCAGGGAGATGCCGCTGGAGGCGGCCTCCGAGATGATGGCCACATCCTTTTGGCCGTCCATGAAGCGCTGCTTCTCCGTTATGTTCAGCGTCTCCAGCGGCACATCGGCCTCCGTGCGTGACTCGTACTGAATTGAGCCGTCGTCACTCTGGACGACACGGCCCCGACGGCCGGTCATCTCGGCGACGTTGTCGGGTCCGCCGAGCTCGTCGATCAGCTGGTCGAGTGTGTTCGGTGGCAGGCGGGAGCCGAGCCGCTCGATCTTGCGCAGCAGCTCCTCCTTCATGGTGCAGGCCCGCTCGATGGCATCCTTGGGCGGTGGGCCGTAGTTCAGCTTCACCCCATTAACGCCCACGGGGGTGACGGTGCCCTTGAGCTCCTGCTTCTTTTGCAGCAGATCCTGGATCTTATCCTGCGTTGATTGCTGCGACTTGCGGGACTTGGCCGCCGTCAGAGCGGCAACCACAGCGGCGGACATTACAGAGCAACTGCTGCTGGCGCTGGTGCTGGCATCGCCGCCAGTCGTTGGTGCTGATGCGGGTGTGGTGGCGGAGGCTGGCTGGGATTCCTTCTTTTCCTTCTTCACCTTCTTCTTGACCTTCTTCTGGGCCTTCTTGGTGGGCTTCTTGCTGCGCGCATTCACCCAGGGATCAATGTCGCTGTCGCTGCCACTGAAGAACGGATTGAAATCGGAGCTGGCATCGCTGGCCACGCTCCTGCGATCGCTGTCCCCATCGTGCTCCTCCTCGGCATCCTCCTCGTCCTCATCCTCATCCTCCTCCTCATCCTCGTCCTCCTCCTCGGCAAAGGCCTCGTCGCTGTTCGCTCCTTCGCTGTCGCTGTTCGAGTGGGCGCCAAAGTCTCGACTGGGTGTGTGGGCTGCCTCCTCATCGCTGTCGCTCATCTGCCACGCCCCGGCGCTCATTTTCTTCTTCTTCTGCGACGACTTGGCCTGGACGCCGCCGCCGCCTCCCTTCCGCTTGCCCCGTCCGGCGCCGCTCTTGCCATTGTTGTTGTTGTTGTTGATGGCGGCGGCGCTAGCACTTTCCGTGACAGCAGACAGGGGTGTCGGTGTGTCATCGTAGAGGCCCAGAATGCGATTGATGCGATTGCGATCGGGCGCCGGGAAATGTCGCTCGACAAACGACTGGAAAACACCTCTGAAAAGGGGGGGGGCAGTTGGCATATTTAGAATTTCGAATGTGGAATGGGGAATGGGGAGGATTGTGTGACTCACTTGGCCGTCGATACGAAGTCCGTTAGCTCCCCATCGTCGCGCTCCAACTGATCGAGGGTTCTGGCCTCCCCCGTCGACTGCAGACCGATGACCACACACTTGCCATACTTGATCGATTCCCGGGCCACCAGCACCGCATGGTTGACCTTCGCTGCAATGCACAAATACTTGAAGAAGCGCTGATGCGACGACCAGAACTGTCCCCACATGGTCTTCTTCATGCGACTCTCGGCATCAATCAGTTCGGCGGCCTCTGTAAACTTTTGCATGGCCTCCACCCACAGCTCCACAGAATGGTCGTAGATCTTGCGGAACTCCTTGGTGAGGGGCACCTCTTCGATCTTGAAGCTGACGCCCTTGAAGCTCAGCTGACGGGCGATGTACATGCCGCGTAGCTTCATGTCCATGGCAACGATTTCCATGGCGCCAACGCCACTGCAAAACGAGAACAGGATAAAGAGATATATGTAGATACACAGGGTTGATCTCTCCTTAGGTCTCGTCCACTTACCGTCGCTCAACCGCTGTGATAAAATCATTGAAATTGCCAAAGGCCGTGCCCTGGCCCCACAGTCCCAGCCGCACCATATAGGCCATATTTTTGGGCTCCGAAGCGCCCGTGGCGGAGGCATACACAACACGGGCTTTGGGCAGCTTTTGCTGCAGCTCGAGCACCGTTTGTCCGGTTTTTGTGGGCTTGCCGGAGCCCACGGGACACAGATTCTTGGCCTTGTGGCACTCATCGAAGACGATCAGACCCTCAAAGTCCTCGCCACACCACTGCAGCAGCTGGCGGAAGCGTGACCGATACTTGCCCGTCTTGTTGTTCGATTCGCCAATGAGCGCCGAGTACGTGCTGAAGATTACGCCGCGCTTCACATTGTTGTTCACATCGGAGCTGATTTTCGCGTACTTAAACTGCAGGGCAAAGTGGGCGAGAGAAGTGCGATTGATTGGAGCAGCAGATCGAAGCCAGAGGGTTGGGTTGGGTTGGGCTGTGTTTGCTTACCTTATTCAATGGATAAACACCGATGCGCGAGGCTCCAATATCGATGAGATCCCGCTGTGCATCGTACTTGAGATCGTTCGAGACCGATATCCACAGCGCCTTCTTGCGTCCCTTGAGGAAGTTCTCGTAGATGATGCCCGCAATGGTGCGACCCTTGCCCACGCCAGCACCATCGCCAATGAGGAAGCCAGCCCGACTGCCATCCGGCAGCAGGTGATCGTGCGCCTGCGAGGCGTAAGTTATGGACTCCAGCTGCAGGGCACTCAGCTGTCCGGTGCTGATCGTGTCGTTGGGTATCGACATCTTGTAGTAGACATCGCAGGGCTCCACGGAGCTGAGGGAAGCCGTCTCCACCACAGCATCGGGATGCTTTTTTCCCAGCTTCACTGTGTGGTGTGTGCGGGTCAGAGAATGAGTTCCTGAGGGACTGTCGTGTGTGGTGTGGTGGGGCAGTTATATATACTCACATTTTGCTGGCCAATAATCGGCATATGTCTCGGCCACGCCCATCTCCTCGTAGTCCACCTCATCCTCCTCCTGCTGCACGTAAGCAGCCGCTGCGGCGGCTGAGGCAGCTGCTTGTGCCGCCGCATTGGCCTGGGCCTGCTGCATGGACTGCTGCATCGACATGGACATCGACATGGACATGGACATCGACATGGAGCCGGGACTGGGGCCCGGCATCGAGTGGGTGGGGGTGGCCGGCGAGGGTGTGCGCTTCATCGATTGCATGAACATCTGGAACACATTGTTGGGTATGCCGCTGGTCAGATATTCCGGATTCATGGCGATCAGTTTCTGGACAGCCTCCATCATCGATGTGCTGCCCTTTGTGCCGCCAGTGGCTGCTCCGCCCGCTGCTGTGGCGCTCGCCTGTGGCTTGGATGCCGCTCCCTTGAAGGGCCGCACCACCGACAGGCCACCACCAGCTGCGCCGCCACCTGCACCGGCGCCGGCATAGCTCACTGTAGGATGGATGCACACGGAACGGAGGGGCGGAGGGGGCGAAACAAAACAAAAAAAAAAAACGGTGGTGTTTCGTGTAGGAGTTTTTGTTTTTTGTTGGTTGCAAATGTCGTTTGTTGGTTGAGATTGTTTGTTGTAATGTGTGTGGATGTGGTATGTGGTATGTGGATGTGGCATGTTCAGTGAATGAGAGGGAGAGGGAGAAATATGCATTGAATAGAAAGAGACAACAGACAGCGGAGAAAAGAAAGAGACAGAGAAAGGAAGAGAGAGAGAAAGAGAGAGACAGAGAGCGTTCATCAGCAAAAATTGTAAATGCGAAGGTTAACAAACATCAACAAAGAAACAAACAAAAAAAAAACCACATAAATATGTGGAAAATCCTCCCCCCTCCTCAAACAACATCCTTAGGACAAAACAACAACAAGTGGAGCAAACATCAGACATACATACATCAGACATACATACATACATACATACATCTGAAATCTCATTACATCAGAGTGAATTTTCTTTCACCTTCACCGAACGAACGCGTATCCGGAACGAAAGCCTTAAAGAAGCGTACATCAAATCAGATACAAAATAACCGACATTTTCGGACCTGACACAGTAAAAATAAAAACGAGAAGGAACGTGTGAGTCGTTTCTGGGGACACGACTCTACTTATACCCGTACTCAGTCAGTATATACATTATTGAGCTTATGATTTTTTAGAATTTTAGAAAAAAAAAAGTTTTACATCTTACATTTTTTTGCTACATCTGTTATCTACATCTACATATACTATGTATATTATACATCTAACATGTATATTCTACATGTACCATTTAGATTCTACATCTCCTCCGCTAGGGGTTGCTCGCGCACTGAACGCGGCAGAGTGTGCGAGCGAGAAGGAAAATGAGTTGTGTTGTCTGGAACGGGAGGGGGAGGGGGAAGCAACAGAAAATTAATTTCTTCATTCTGGCTATAATTATGATCCGATCTAGTTCAGATTTGGCAATCTGGTAGATATGGGCATTCTCTACGATACTGCGTTTTTAGTTTTATCGTATCTTTAAAATTGTGCCTGCCACAGATTTTGTCCTTTGTGAGGGCGGAAGGGGGCGGGGCGAAATCTGAATACACTTGTAGCAGTGTGATATCACATAAGTCTGGAAACCAAATTTGGTTTCGCTAGCTCTTATAGTCTCTGAGATCCAGGCGCTCATCGAGACGGACAGACGGACAGACGGGGACAGACAGACGGACGGACGGAGGAGCGGACGGACGGACGGACAGACAGACATGGCTATATCGACTCGGCTATTGATGCTGATCAAGAATATATATACTTTATGGGGTCGGAAAATTTTCCTTCTCTGCGTTACACACATTCACTTTTACCACAAATCTAATATACCCCTTAACTCTTTTTTGAGTACGGGTATAATGACTGCGAGTATACTGATAGAATTAAAGAGCTGCGACGCAGGCTAAGCTAAGTGACCCCCAGAGCGAATCGATTCGGTTGCCTGTGCATGCACGGGACACGTACATCATGCACGGGACTGTACACATGTATGTACATCATGCGTACAGTCACTTGTTTTTACTGCTCAATGGGAATATGCAATGGCAATGGCTGCCTCATTAAATGTACAACAAATCGAATTGAATGGCGGAGTATTAGCAAAAGTCTCGGCTCATTTTGGTTTTTGGGTTGCTTTCAACTGCAAATCAAATTAAAAATAAACTCAATCAACTTTGTCATTTGGGTGTGGGCGGGGGGTGCTGGATTCCCCATCCTGCTGCTGTTCTGCATGCGTATCGGGACGACGAGGCATGCGTGTCTATGTATTATCAATTGAACAATAATTTTCCCTTCGTATACAGAAAATTTGTACAACTTTTCGTTTGCTGCTGTGCTGTGCTGTGCTGCTGTTTTGCGAGCGAATCAACGACGCTTTAGGGCCATCGAGAAGGATGACTTCTTGAGGAGCAGCGTATTGATGTGATGCTGGCGCCACTGCCGTCGCTCCAGCTCCTCCTTCTCCTCCGATTGGGATCTCTTCGGTGTGGTGGGTCCAGCTGTGGCTGTGGCTGTGCCTGTGCCTGTATATGTAGCGGTCGTTTTTTGTTCAAGCACTTCGCTGTTCTGATCCTTGAGGTAAGCCGGATTGCGGTAGAGCACCTCCGCCACCTGAGCCTCAGCCTCTGCAGATATCGAGACGTTGCACACGGAACTGCTGAGACTGAAAGCACTCGACGATGACTCCACCGCCGCCGCCGCCGCCAGCTCCTCCTGCTGCTGCTGCTCCTCCTCCTCCTCCTCTTCCACATCGGTGTGTGAGGTGTCAAACGATACGGGGGGATGCTTGAAGAAGACGATGGACATCGATCGGTGTAGTGTAGTCGATGAAGTGCCCAATGCATCGCCAGGCGCCTCAGGGATTGACTGGACACTCCCCAGAGCGTGGCAGGATCCCAACTGTAGATACTGCGACGTGGAGGTTGTGGCTGCTGCTCCTCCCACCAACAAAGCGGGGATGTCTTCGTTGTTGTTGTTGTCGTTGTCGTCTGCTGATGTCGACTGCTGGCCGCTCCTCGCCTCACGCTTCCTCTTGTCCTGCGCCTCGTTCTGGATAACATGAAACTCGTCCATGGCCTCCGCCACTGTGAGCTTCACCAGCCGACAGATTTCGTCCCAGCGGGGATAAGCCGCAGCCGCAGCCGCCGCCGTAGCAGCAACAGCCGCATCAGCAGGCCGCTCCGTGTGATGGTGATGATGGTGGTGATAATGATGATGATGCACCTCCACATTCCCTCGAGCCGTTCGCTGTTCGGCCGCCTGCTCCATTTGCTCCTTGGCTTGTGACTCCATTGGATTCAGAAGAGCGACGAGGGATCGATCCAATAGATCCAACAGCCAAAGAGAGCCAAAGAGAAAACCGAACAAACCAAAAACTAAAATCCAGTGCAATAATTTCGTGAGAACTTTGTTTCGAAAATAATAAAATCACTTGGAATTTTGAGCTGTGCTGGGTGCTAGCTGCTGGCTGCTGGCTGCTAGATGGACGGAACGTTTTTTAGTATCCTGAAATTTGTGTAGTGCCCCCCGCCCTGCACGAAGGGGAAATGTTTTGATGGAAAACCAATTCCCACTTTGATGAGAGAAAACGTCGTACATATTTGCATTTGCAATCGACAAACGAATCCTAAAACCAGTGACGGCAAAAACATTCACTCATTCATTCATTCATTCATCCATTCACAAGACATACAGGGACACACTTTGAATGTACAGTTGCGTTCAAAATACTAAAAGTGCTTTTGCAGTTTCAATCGCGGAAATACTTTGTGCTCCAGGATGCAGATCGCAGATTGCTCGCCCATTTCTTACAATTATATTTCAAGATATTTGCAAACTAATTACTGAATATATCATTGCCATTCGGATAACTATTTGAACTATTTCCACTGTCAGAGGTTCAAACTTTGCGCATTCTATCGAAGCAGCAGCTTTACTTTATTTATCCGATCCGAACATTAATTCAGTCGTAGAAATTTCCACACTTTTAAGAGACTCTTCTGGGGGTTATTTTTGTATAGCATTGAAAATGAATTCGTGTGCAAAGTAAATCATTTTTGATGAAATTTTTAAACTTGTGTTTAAACTACAATGGTAGATGTAGATTCTACATCTACTAGTACCCACTATTTGTCATGTTATGGATGGATTTTAGACACCTTTTCCGAGATCTGTTAGCAGTGAATTTGGGACTATTTTCTTATATTTATGCCAAAAGTGTACATGCATTTTAACTACTTGTTTTTAAGATCATTCAAAGATATTGAAATTAAATTGGTGTAAAAAAAGAGTTGCATTCGGGAGTAAAAAACAATTAAATTTGTACTAAAGTTCAGATACATTCCGAGATTCCGAAACTGCTCACAGAACTGGCTCTACTGATTCTACTGGTCGCTGGCTCCTATGCTACCCTCCGCTCTGTGTGGATCACTGCCAGCACTTAGCGTGCTGCCCCTCACTTTCCCACACATCCCAGGGCGAATGTATATCCATGCTATTTGTATTTGATTGTAGAATAATGCCTCCCCATTCTTGGGAAGCACTTTTATTATGTTGAACGCAGCTGCGGTGAGGGATCTGCCCCTGGGAGACTGTTAATTCGGTGGGCAGGGTAATACACTTTTGAACGCTTTTCTTGGTTGTTACCAACATTAATCGACTTACTCTGCGCCAGTAAAGACGCGGCCATATTGAAACTAGCGGCAGAGGCACCACTCCCGCTCCCACTGGCACTGCCACTGCCAGTGCCAGTGCCACCAGCACCCCCCATCGCTGACGCATAGAAGCTGGAGGCGCCGCCGCCACTGGAGGTTGAGGTGGAGGTGGATGTGGAGGAGTGCGAATGCGAGGGCGATGGCGAGGCACTGCTGCCACCCTTGGAGGCCACGTAGGCGGCGAGGTTCATCAGTTCGTTGGTGGAGAGGCTGTTCAGGTAGCTGCCGGCGCCGCTGCTCAGGTAGCTGCTGGCAGACCCACCACCCCCACCACCGGACCCCGTATTGATGTGGGGTGTGGATGTTGATGTGGGCGTGGGGGTGGCGGTGGCGGTGCCCGAGACCGAGCTGCTGGTCCTCGCTGCGGGTGGTAGGGTGGAGCCCATGGCTGGACGGACGACAAAACGAATGCAAAACGAAACGAAACGAAAGGAAACGAAACGAAAGGAACAAAACCAAAACAAAAGTAAAAAAAAAAAAAAAGATTTCAGGGCGGGGTGGGGGGTAAACAAGAACAAGGTAAAAAAAAGGTGGTGGGGTAGGGGGAATAAACATATAGAAGGGGCGTGGGAAAGGGGGGGGGGGGGGGAGGCAGAAAGAGTGTAGGTGTAGGATATAAAGAAAGAGAAGAAAGAGAGATAAACACAAGGGGCATTAATTAATTTCAATCGTTGCAAGCAAATTTCATCTTTTCTTTCCTTTTGTCTTGCTGTCTGTCTGTCTGGATGTCCATCTGTCTGTCTCTGTTTCACGCACTGCTTGTGGCTGTATGTGTGTGTGGGTGTATGTGTGTGGGTGTGCTGGCAAGGTACATTCATAGCAAGGTGAGGCATTCCCCCGCTTAAAACTTGAGCAGTAAAACACTCACAGCTACTCCAAACAGATCAATTGTTAATCGTTAACTTAAACTGATCAATTGGGGATACCCCTCTCCCCACTCTCCACTCTCCACTCTCTCGCCATCTGCGAGCGAGCTATAGCACCGCCTCCGGTATGATAAATTACAAAACTCAAATGATCTTTTCTCTGCCCACGAAATTCAACAAAGAGAATGAGAGCGAAGGCTGTCATTCGCCTCTCGCTCTTGCTCCAAGTGTGTCCCTCAGCAAGTGTTCCGGATAACTCTGATCGCCTCCGCTCTAAGCTACATATATATGCAGCGTTTATAATCCTCTCTCTATATATACATCTCCCTGCCTCTCTCTCTCTCTCTCTCCCGTGTGCCTCACCTTGCGTGTTGCAAATTTCTGTGTCTCCTCTCTGTGTTCTACTCTGTGTTCAGAGAGTGCGTTTGGTGTGTGTTGTGTGGTGTGTGTGTGGTGTGTGTGGTGTGTGTGTTGTGTGTGGAGTGTGTGGTGTGTGTGGTGTGTGTTTCATGTTTCTTTTCATTTTGATTTCGTTTTTCCACTTACCCGTCACTGTGTTATTCAATTTCTTTGGCATATTGTTTAAACTATTCTCTAATCCTAATTTTCTGGCTATTAACGGTACTGCGCCTTTGGACGTCAGTTCTAGCCCCACTATACCGCCTCTAGCTGCTGCTGCTGCTGCTGCTCCTCCTCCTAGTCCTCCTGCTGCTGCTGCTGCTGATTTTACTATTGCTACTCCTTTCGATCCGAATGTGGCTGCTCCTCCTGGTCTGGCGCTCAAAATGATGCCGTTATTATTGCCAATCTTATTGTTGTTATTGCTGCTGCTGGTGATATTATTATTGTTGGTTCGCAGCAGGGAAGTGGGCTTATTGTTGTTGTTATTGTTGTGATTGGTGAGGGTTATGGTTTTGGTATCGCTGTTGCTGTTGCTGCTGCTGCTGCTGCTGCTGCTGCTCGCCGGCCCCTTCGTCACGCCCGCACCACTCCGTATATTCTGGGCGTAGGTAACAGCTGTATTCAGATCGCGACCGCCACCTGGAGAGAGAGATGTCCCAAGGACAAAGATACAAACACACATTAGTGATCCATTTCAATGAAGTTTGAATACTTCCTAGCCCTTATGCACTGGCCCCCAACAGGAAACACCCACAAAAGTCGGGAGGGGGGGAGGAGCTAAAGTAAGTCATTTAAATCTGTCCTAGAACAGGCCTGAACAATCTGTCATGAGATATTCCTGTGCTCATTCGACATTTATCATTGAGTCTGGAAATACAATACGAAACTATTCCCCCATTCGCCAGCTCCATAAATGTGTAAGCAAATTCTGGTAAGTGCATTTCTGATGCTGCTCCCCCCAATCAACCCAATCTGAATCAAACAGAACTCCTCGCAATCCTCACAATCCCCGCCAATACTGTGGTAAAATATTCTGTTGAAAATGTCTGGCCGGCCGAAGCGAGTGCCAACATTCAAGTGCGCCGTATTCGGCCACGAGGGATGCGGCAAGACGGCCTTCATCCAGCGCCACTTGACGGGCGCGTTCGAGCAGGAGTATCTGCCCACGCACGGGATCGTGGTGATCAAGCTGCTGTTCAACACCAGCCGCGGGCCCATCTGCTTCGAGATGTGGGAGGGGGGCGGGGCGGAGTACAACCCGCCTCCGAATCCATTCTTCAAGAAGATCAAGTGCGCCATCCTGATGTTCGACGTGGGCATAAAGGAGCCCTTCGCCAACTTCGACACACACTACTCCCTGTTCAACATGGTCCCTGCGCACGTCCTGAGAACCATCTGTGGCAACAAGACCGACATCAAGCTGTCCAAGAAGAACCCCCTGCGACTGACCATTTTCCGCTGCACAAAGATTTCCGTTAAAACCAATCTGAACATGGAGAAGCCCTTTGAGTACTTCGCGCGCAGACTGTTCAAGGACCGATCGCTGGAGCTCATCCCCAGGCCAGAAATGTTCCCGGCCCAAGTGCGGCTCCGTGGCCAGGACATGCTACGCCAACGGGAGTCGGGGGCCTGGACAGAGCAATCAGAAACAGACGAGGACCAGTGAGATCTTACACAGACCCACCACACACCAGACACCACACACCAGACGGCAGCACCAGGGCAGACAAGCAGACAACAGCAGCACACTCCCAAGGGTAAGGGTAAGGGTACGGGTAGGTTCTCCCTTCTTATTCACTCTGATTAAACCCCTAATTAATCTGTGAAATTTCACTCTTTTCAGCGGGACACAGCGCGTCCAGCAGAGCCAGAGGACAGAGGCTCCTTCTTTTATGTTTTGTTTTTTGGCAATAATTTAATAGAATTGTATTTTATGTCCAACAATGTATGCAATTTTATTTTTTGTATTTTTGTGTGCTGCTGTTCCCATGGAAGGATTCGTAGTGATCGAAGGCATTACAGAGGCACGAGTGTAGATGTGACTTGGACGTGGAGGGCTCTAGTGTGGGTGACGGGGCGCACGTTGATATCCGGACACTGGAGGAGTCTGGGCTGGCTGAGTCCTGCGCGTATGCAAAAACAAAATACATGTCGTGTGCCTGACATCGAGTCTCACTTGAAGGGGGTTATTGGTTTTTCCTCTGGACGGCGCACAAATTCAGGAAGTGTTCTTTGATTTCCTTGAGTTCGGCACGTGTTGTTGCTGTGGCTGTTGTTGTTGCTGTTGGAAATTTTCCCATTTTCTTTGCTGGCATTTTGTTTGGAATTTTCAATTGTGGAACACCTTTAATTTGATGCAAATTGGAAATCCAAACATTTCGAAATGAATTCCTCAGAAATATGAGTTGCACAATATTGCAGAGACCATGGACAAAGACTTGGCACCCCCTCACCACCCAGCAGCCCCAGGCATTTAGCCTCACGTTAGTGGCAGCAACAGCAGCAGCAGCAAACCTCGGTCCTCATTCAAGGTAAATAACTAATTAATGAGCAAAGATACAGATGATGCGGATACAGAGGGGCAGATGCACATAATACATAATGTGCAGCAAGCAGTACATACATATGTACATACATATACATAAAAAGGGGCTGGGTAGAGGGGTAGGCTGCTTTCGGGCTGGATATATAATCATAATTATATGCAACCAGACACATGCATTCATATGTGTGTGTGTGTGTGGCACCCACCACACCCCCCACACACATGCACCACTGGCAATAGGATAGTCCAATAATTACATGTTGCCATTGCCAGCCATTGCAGTTGCAGTAACGGTGGTTACCGCGCGGTCAAGATGCATGCCTCCCCACAGCCAGAAGGCCACAAATCAAATGCGAATAGCAGACCCAAAAATGATTGCACATCTCTGCCTTTGACAGTTGTGGAAAGTAATTAAGTGCTCGCGGGCTGAAGGAAGTTAAGTTATCCATCCAGCCAAGCCGCCAGAGGCATCAAACTGTAACAAATATTGGATGCTGGATGCTGGATGCTCATGCTGTACTTTCAATTCCCGTGGTGCCAGTGGTGCACTGTACTCAAGTGAAGGACTCTTCTAAGCACACACAAAACTTCACTCTGCACACAGAAATCGGTATGCCAAAGGTCGGGCCGGACTTTGTTTGGCCCTTAGTTATCCAGATGCTGCCCATGGGCACCTAAAGATGGTCTCCGACGGTCAACCGGTCAACCTGTTTGCTGCGGCTTAAACTACTTAACTACCTTTAAGGTGGGTTTAAAACTGCACAGCATAAAAAAATGTGTAAAGTTATTTTGTGTGAAGATTGGGGAATCGCCTGCCGAACGATTCCTTCTGCTGTTCACCTGAACAGAGCCTCACAACGTTTCAAAACAATTGATTTTCAATTGGTTGTATTCTTCTTTTCGTGTGTGTGTGTGTGTGTGTGTGTGTAATTATAATTATCCATCGATTGATGGATGCCATGCAATGGCGTGGGACGGACGTTCGGGCAAATTGCTAATCGAATTTAATAATTCAGTCAAGATGTCCACCACGAAGCATGACGCACAGAGGCAGGACCGTCGTTTCAACGTGGATATATCTTTAGGTATATATGTATTCCATTTCATTATGGTGGGTGGCAGCTGGGAGCTGGTCAACTTTACCTAATATGCGTGACGCACAAATGACGAGGAGGTGGGGGAGCACATAAAATAATTGCTATATACTCCGTACTGCACAGAGTATACGTATACGTACACTTTATACATATATCCATATCGAGTTAATCTAATGCAAACACAATGCACGCTGCCCGTTGCACGCTGCACGTTGCACATTGAAAGGACATCTTTGTGGGGCCCTCTGGGCAGGTGAGAGACGTTCTCACTCTCCCCCTGTCTCTCTCTCTCATCTCTCCATCTCTCTCTCTTGCTCTCGTATCTGTTTTGTGCATTTGGTGGGCACTCCGTTTGAGGCAGGACGATTGGGGGACAGATGACACTGATGGCATTTTCATAAATGTTTTAGTGGACTAATAAACATTTTCTTTTAATTACTATTGAGACAGATATCATGGAGAAATTCGTAGGTACTCTGATGCCACTGATTCACTGAACATCCAGGGGACACCCATATTTCCTGCCAAGCCGCCGGAGGGAGGAACTCCTCCGAGCACACAGACTGCCACTCGCACAATTCGCCACTTGCGCAAATCTGCCCACACCAATCTGCCATTCTAAATGGAATTCCAATGGGGGGTTTTCTGCTTACCAGGCACTTCTATTAGATCTGGATCTTCATCGTCGTCAAAGTCGGAGCCAGAGTCCTCGTCATCAAAATTATCGTCGTCGTCGTCGACGCCGTCCAAAAATGGTTTTCGCTTTTTCGATGTCTGAAATACAACAACAACAAAAATATACACAATTAATATTTATTTTGTATATTATAATATTTAATTATTTATTTATTATTATTTACGTGGTATTTTCTGTATTAAACATGATATTTTGGAGTTAATTTAGTTTTTGGTTGAACCAAATACAAATAAAAAAATAATTGACTTTAAAGACATAAAATAGTACTCGTGAATAAAATGGCACATTTAACACATTACATATTTAGTATATGGCATCCAATTTGATCGACCAGATTTCTCTCAGTGGACGCAAGAGTCAGCGAAAATCAATAGATTTGATAGTTTTCACATTTTTCACAGTTTTAATTTCCATTTCGAATCACCCAAAAAAAAAGGACACACACACACAGCCACAGAAAAGGCGGAAAAACGAAACAAAAACAAAACGCAAAATAAATGTGACACAAAAGAAGAGCGCAAAAAAAACCGCATATATATATTTGTATAGCACACTTTTCAGAGCACACCAAAGGCACACACACCACACACACACAAAACGGGGGAAGAAAAAGGAGAAAAAGATAGCCAGTGGGAGAGACAGAGAGAGAGAGAGAGAGAGAGGAGGAAGTTGGAGGAGTTTCCGAGTCATTTGTTTAGAAAAAACGGCACAAAAAGCACGAGCGAAAAAAAAAAAACAGAAAAAAAAGCGCGAAGGGAAAAATGCAGAAAAGCAGAAAAGAAGATGGAAAAGCTGGAAAAGCGCTGAGAGACGAACACTCACGGAAAAAGACGACGGACCGGAAGAGGTCACATATGCGGTTCTGCCTCGATGGGAACTGGTTCTGTTCTCCGTTTCGGAATGGCCTGGCCTGTCCTGGCCTTCTCTTCGGTTTTTGGTTTCTGGGATTTCTGTCTGTACGGTTGGTTGGTTCTACTTTTGCGGGAGTGGTGTGCGACTGTTTCGATGCTCGTGTTGGAGCCAACTACCGCCACTTATCCAGGACTCAGGCTCAGATCCAGAACCAGACCCGCACCCGGGTACGGCCTCTGCCACCGCCACTGCCACTGCCACGACATGCCTCTTCTCTTCGGTGGCACACAGAGTACCCCCGTAGCCCCCTTTTCTACTTCCACCCAAATAGCTGGGAATATTCACCATTTCATGTCGGAATATTCTAGCAGGAGGCAGCAGCAGGGAGAAGGACCAAACGGCTGCAGTTTTTCGATAGTAACGGGTTAAACCGGAGAGGGTGGGGGGTGCTGTTCCTTTGGGGGTGGGTTTTCGCGTGTGTGTCTGTGTGTGTGTGTGTGTGTGTGTGTGGTGGACGTACAGCAAGAAGAACAGAACTGGAAACAGGCCGATAAACAAACGAGGTGGCGACGACTACCGAGCATCCTCCACTTCCAACCCTTTTTCGCACAGCCACAGTGGGATTCATTCTCCAAATATCGGACACAAAACATATTTGTAGCTTGTGCCCCCAATAGGGTTTGGAAAAGTTCAAGCGGTCATATTTTAACACAAATTCTTTTCCTTAAGTTGTATGACTAGATTTCATGCCTTTGGCATTGCTGATATTTCCTTGGACAAATGCATTGTAATTGTGTAATTTTATTTTTCATATTGTCGATTTTTTTAATATTTTGTATATTTGTTTTGTATTTTCCAGTATATTTCGACGTATTTGCTAGTATTTATTTGATACTTTCTAGTCCCAAACTTTATCGTTTTCCCTTTCCTTTTTGTAATCTAAAACCCTAAATGCATTCCACGGTGCCCCACGGGACCCCAAAAAGGGGTTGGAATGTTGATCTCTCTCCTGCCCCTTTTGCAGTCACCTCCTTAGCCTCTGCCGTTCCCATTACCCACCTTCTCGCTTCTTCTTCGCAGCAACAACATGTTTGGCATGGCAGAGATACGAAGTTTCGTCCTCTATCGATGCGGCATATGCAGGCGGCATGGGCTCGGCGCACCCCCTTCCACCCCGCAGCAACGAGTGAGGGTGGTAATGGGCCAATGGAATGGGAGGCAGGGAGGCTATATGAAGCCTGACGCATGTACAGCAATTAGAGCGGGACAGAGTGATGTGTGAGAGGGTGGTGCATAAATCTCCCTTACTCTCTCTCTATATGTGTATATCTGACATCCTATATATTCGATATGAATCCTATATCCCAGCTGCATACATATGTATATGGGATCTTGGCTTAAAAGCCGAGCAAATCAAAGCAGAGTTGCAGGTTGCAGCCACAGTAAACACTCGTGAGATATGGAAGACCCCTTTATTTCGCCGATTTCTGGATTTTATTCATTTAATTAAATGTAATATTTAACATAAATTAATTATTAGTTTAGCTATTAAGAATGAAAGAACAAATACATAACAAGCTTCAAGTGAACCATAATTACTATATAATTAAATAGTGGTAAACATCGCAGACATCCTTCCTTTTAGCTAAAGACAACAATGTAATGGCCTACCTCATCCCTTTCCTGAATCTTTTCGTTTCTTTTTAGATGTGCAACCTTTTGGTTGACACACAAATAAAATCAAAACGAATGACCTTGCAACACACACAGAACGCACAGAAAGAGTGCCTCTTATGTGCAACATGCATCATCATCATCAACACGTTGCTGCTGCCCAAACACACACACCCACACTCCCACACAGTCACGAACAAAAGAGAGAAAATGTTAAAAATATCCCAAAATAAAGGACAACAATTTAGGGCCTATCAAAAGGGTTGCTGGCAAAAGCAAACGAAGATCAAAATAAAAACAAAAAATTGCAGATAAAACTGCCCCACAAAAAGGATGAAGAGAACACAATTAATACACACGCAGAAATGTCAAAATAAAACACGAACCAAAGAATACCCTCGAATCAGCTTAGAATCGAAATTTTGGAATGGAATGGAATGAAGAGAGGAGTTCGAGTCACATTTTATGCGAAATATTCATTCTCCTCCGTGTCCCATAAGCGAAAGGATACAAACAGATATTATTCGCCACAAACGTTTCAGGATTTGAATGATAATAAATGCCAATGGCTAATTAATAAATGTTTCATACTTTTTCCATCTTAAAAGTAAAAGTTAGCAGTACATACTGCTGAAAAAATATCTAAAGGAGAAGTAACATTTTGAGGAATCTTCCTGGAAAACAGAAAATCAGTTGGTGTAACATTCCAGTGCACAGGGTATTATTATACCCACTATGTGCTCTGGCAACAGACAGACAGAAGGAGCGAGAGAGCGAGATAAAGGAAGGGGAGAGAACGTGTGAGGAGAGGAGAGGGAGTGCCCGGTCAGACAGTTGGGCTCCCCCTGGGCGCATGCGTCACAAGCGGCCGAATGCAATAACTAAAGAGCAGACAACGATACATAAGCCTTTTTCCCTGCCACACACCACCCTTCTCCAACATCAATGCATCCATTGCACTGCAGCACTGCCGTTTGTGGGAGTGGCAACCATTCGGGATGATGCCGCGCTACAGTGAAGCCTCTTCTCTGGAGGAAACCAACCTCGCTACCCCAGGGACCTCAAGGGGTTGTGTCCCGGCTAGTGGCCAAGCGCAAGGGTTGTTGACTCCGCTAAGCAACAAGTGCAAAAAGAACAATCGAAAAAAGAGCCCAAATAAAAAATAAAATAAAGAGCAACGCACTTAGCATACCCTACAATTATTAAAAGATTGAAACTCCAAAAATGTAAGTCAATTGGCTTTTTACAGTTATATTCCCCTCCCGGGGATATCCATTACAATAATAATAAATACAAATACAAAAATAAAGAAAAGAGATTTTGAACATTTTTTGGGCATCATAAAAGCATCTTCAAAGTTTGGCCGCACATAAATACAGAAGGGGGATCTTTGTTTAAACATAACAACTAAAAAAAAATGACAATAAGAAGAGGGGACACCCTCATTCTATTGATTTGTTTAGTTTGGAGGCGCGGCAGAACTGCATCTTGGGCCGTGGATTATTTATTTAAAGAAATTATCCGATAAGGAACAATAATGAATAAAGCTCTGCGAGGGAACTGTGCCATGGGTTTGTCTTCGTTTTAAGCAAAAAATAGAATAAACGTCAAGAAAGGGATGGAAAATATGGAATTTTAATTGATTTACATTTTCGAAGAATTAAACGAATATCTAAAAATAGCCACGTCAAGGAGCTTTAATATACATATACATATGTGCATGATTTTCCTTATTCATAATAAATTGTATATCTTAAGCCTTTATGGGACAGCATACCTTTTGCACGGTATCCCCCCGCCCATTCATTCATCAATAAACAATAAAACTAAAATCCAAAGCCCCCTACCCCACACCCACATCGACACACCACACAGGCGGCGCCACGCCGCAACATGGATCGCATGGCCTTAACCCTAACCTAGCACAACTTTTCCAACGGAATTCATTAGCTCTCGCGCGCCGCCTCCTCAGCCACCGAAATCTGAGCAAAGCACGAGGCACGTGCGAGCGAGATGGCAAGCGGAAGCACACACGCAAAAAAAAAATAAACACATGGTTTCCAAAGCAAAAGTCACAAAACAAAAATCAAAAGGGAACTTCCTTCACTTCGGTTGGAAGATTACTCCTAAAAAGTGTTTTGATGGTGCTGGCGGGGGAAAGGAAGGAATAAATTGCACTCGAAGACAAAAGGAAAGAGAGCGCAGAAAAGCTGAGCAATGCAACGGTGGATACGGGGGCAAAAGAGAGGCTCAGAGCAGAGAACAAACAAAAGTAATTGAATGAGTTTCAGTCGGTAGGTTGCTGCTGCTGCTCTGCCGCTGCTTTGCATCTTTCTGCTGCTGCTGCTGTGTTTTGCCACTTCCTCTTTTACCTTCTACTACTTCTTTCTACTGCTACTGTAGATGTGCTTCTTCTTCTTCGTTCCTCTTCTGCAGCTGTTCTGCTTCCATACTCTTCCTCTTCAACTGCTGCTGCTCTTCTTCTTCTTAGGGTTCCACTGCGTTTACATTTTACAGCCTTGTTTGTTGTTTTTGTGTTAAACACAGTTTATCATGCATATGGTTTTAAAAATGTTCTTGTTTTTGGACATTCCCTCTCCTATTGGTGTGCGTGCGCTGCGTATGTGTGTGTTGCGTGTTTTAGCAACAAAGAAAATGTATTAAGTCATTCTGCAGCCACAGTCAGAATCAGTCAGCAAGCGCAGCGTCAACCCACACACACACGCACACAGACGCACGCACACAAACAACAACTGCACAAATGTTTCTCTTCACTTACCATTTTGGCGCTGCAATTTGTTTGTTG